ATAGAGCCTTTACTACATGAAAATGAAAATTAATGAATACACTGTGTACAGTAATTTACCTGATAAGACAGACCTCAGAAAAATACTTTATGAGGCATAAAGCTGTCTATAATGAAAATTAATTAACTAAGGATTTTTTTGCCCTGCCAGGGTGTGGCCGAGTTATCCGGAGTGTCGGGTTATCGAGCGCCGAGTTTTCGAGAGTCTACTGTACTAAATAAATCTGATGTTCTTTATGATAAATTAAAAAATAAAGTATTTTTAAAATAGATTTTAATGCAGATCATGAATTAATACACATTTTACGAATTTTGAATGATTCACTGTATAAAGTCCAGTATTAAAATCTTATAAATACACAATTTGTTATAAATAAATACATTGTTATAAGTCAATGTATTTATCTCTAACAATATTAATAACTACACAAATCACTAATTCATACTTCTTTACTGATTCATAAATAAATCTTAAATTTCTTAAGAATATCATCATAACAAAATAGCTGACTCCTATAAACAAAAATAACAAGTTTGAGAAGGAAAAACAGGACACGCCATTAAAAATCTATTATTCACAACATTGAAATACGACGTAATAAAATGGAACTTTACAATTCAATTTAATTGAAAAACTCCACCACTTCGCCCAATTCTCTTTTCTTTGCTTCATGATGTGCCCAGCGAGCTTCTGCTAGTTGAGGAGTTACCTTCCATTTTTCGTGATATATTCTTTGTTTGCAACCGGGACACTTTTTCCCTCCTGTGGTCATAAATTCATTTTCATCACTTTTCATAGAATACTTTTAAACAATAACTTTCAAGTGAATACCTTGAAATGGTGGCGTTTTCATAAAACGATTGAGACACCCATTATGAAAAAGATGATCACAGTACACCCTTTCTATATGCAAGTCATTAGTTATTTCTGTCATAATATCCTGTAATAAAAATAATTTATCCCATATTAAAATTCAAAATACTCTAAGGCAAGAAATGTTTTTACATATTAATTTCTATCGATCATATAAATCATGTCTACCTTAGGATCATGTGGGAAACATCTCTTCTTGCATAATTGGCAATTTTCAAGAGGATAATATTTGACTCTACTTATTAAAAAGCTAACTACTGGCCATAAAGATGGCTTGGGTTCAAATGGTGGGCTTCTGCAGAAAAAATAAGTTACATGTAATTTTTATAGAAAATATTTTTACTTAAAAATTTATTAAAATCTAGTACTAAATCTTCCCACAGCTGGTTATATACTAGTAAATAACACCAACAAAACCTTCAAAAATATATCAGCAAATATAATATAAATATGATATGACAAAGCATATTTATATTAAATACACAAGCATCATTGACACATTACAAGAATTAAAACATATTGAAAAAATAGCAATGGCACATGGTTACCCTAGAACAGTGGTGCAAATATTAGCAGAGAACTATATTAAAAGAATGAATGATAACAATATTTCTTATCTTAACAAGGGTGATAGTAAAGATTTAGTGTACAGACAAACATATACTAATTGATTATGACCAGGGATTAATTAAAAGCCTTATGCTACTAAAAGAGGGTGGGCAATAACATACAGATGTAACCCATTCGTTTATTCATTATTAAGAAACAGCAAAGACGTCATTAACTACAATGCACCAGGGGTATAATGTGTACTTGTGAGAGATGACAGATTTCACAGAGATCTGATGTACTTTGGTTTGACTAAGAGGTCCCCTAAAAACAGTTAGCAGAACATAAATATGATATACAAAACAAAAAGCAGACCACCACCCTAGCAATACATGCTTCTGAAACGTGTGAAAGCTAAACCACAGCAAGCCTGTCTCATTAGATGCACCCTTCACACTGGTCAGATCAAAATTTTGGAAGCTCATGAAATTTGTAAAGCTGAACTAAAGGAAAAGCTCCTCTTTAAAATATATCAATTTTAAAGAGGAGCTTGGCCTGGCTGTCTTTCTTGACAATCCCAACATCATTAATAAGAAATAAAAATCAATTAATTCCCTTAAGATTTGCAAATATATTAGAACAAGTATAAAAATCACATCTAATTGTTCCAGCAATTTTTAAAATTTAAATTTTATCTTTTAGCATTCTAATTCTATCAAATGTTTTGACCTAAAGCAAATCCTATTCAGATAAAAAATGTCATAGCATATTTATATTAAACTAGCTGCAAGGACCTGCTTTGCTGGGTTTTTATTTGTATATAATATAGTTTTTTTATATATATAAAAGACTGTTTTTCTAAGTAATCTAGAATCTAGCTGCAAGGACCCGCTTCGCTGGGCAAAAAGTAATGATAGTGAAGATTAAGATAATTACATTATAGCTAATCTTACCCGTTTTCACAGAATGCAAAAATTAGGTCCCCCGTTTCCAGACTAATTAGAGAATTTTTACGTTTAGTCAAACGAACTATTTTCAACGTTTCTGGAACGTTTACAATCGTTCTATAATCGAACCAATATTCGAATTTTATGTTCGAATTTAATTCGAACAAATTCGAACAAAACATTCGAAATAGAAAGCCACTTTCAACCACTTTCAGCCTCATATCTCCCACACCCTTATAGCTATCGAGACGCAACCACCATAGTGCACGAATGGAGACTTGGGGCTACTACCACATACAAACACCATTCATGTGCGATGTGTATTTTTGGCTAAAAAGTGAAATATAGGGACACACACGTCCATTTTTATACATATATACAGATTATATTTGTATATTATTAGTGTTATTTATTTAAAAAAGGTAATGAATACTATTAAATTTACTAACTTTTTGAAAATGATTAATAACAATTTATTTCAGATTATCATCAAATTATCTATACATTTTTTATAGTTATATAAAACTATAGTAGAAGTTCTCTAAAACAGATCCCACACAAAGTAGAGACCTGTCTAATGCAGAAACAAAAGAGATTTTGCATATCAACTGCAAAATGTAAGCTAAGTAAAGTAGAATTTTTCAGCATATCAGTAGCTAAATTCTAAATCATAGTTAATACTGTAAGTTGTGGCAGATTGCAGTAATGAATTATATCTTCTCTCATTTTTTCACTGTTCATTTCTGAAAAATAGCTATGACAATGTAATGCTGCTGTTTCTCCTCAACTCTAAAAGAGTTAACTGATTTTCTGGGAATAATGAATAATTAAAAAATACAAACTGTTTGTAGGAAAAAAGTCAAATGAAAGAAATGTTAAAAAACTAAAAATGTATTTACTAAAAACACAATTTTCAATCTATTATTATTTTTTGTACATAAAAGTTATCAAATAATTATCACAAAATGTTTTAGGATGTAATGCTTCTCACTCACCATGCTAGCTAGACAAAAGTAGCAGTAGCTAGTGCTACTGGCAAAAATTCTTAAAACTAGTTGAAATTCAGTTTAAATGTTACTGACATGAGAAATAAAGACAAATTAATTTTTCAGAGAAACTAATCTTATAGACAATGTAAGAGTTATTTTTAAAGAAAGACTCAAAAATCTATTTTAGTTTAATATGACAATAGTTAATTCATTAAATTCTGACTAGCAAGTAGTATGTTGTAGAGCAGGCTTAACCAAGTCAACTATGACTTCATTTTTTTAAAAATCAAATGTGGAATGTATGGCTTGTTAAAATGAGAAAAAACATTTGTAATTTTTATGAGAATATAAATTCCAATTACCAAGTTGTTAATGCTGAGCTATATAAATAACAAGTGATCATCTTTATTTATGATTGTGACATGGGGAAGAGAGCATGCACAGATACTGAACAAGATATAAAATGTAATGGAGTATGCTATGTTGACTGTCTTGTGTTTATTTTAGAAATTGTTTTGTTGTACCCTGAACAATTTCAGTTATGTGCAAAGTATATGCTTTGTTATGGTGAATAATAAATACTGCTGTTTAGTTTATGCCTGTGTCTTTACCCAAAAGACATAATCTAGAATGTCAATTACTGTGTAAATATATACTGTAATTATATTTAGCAGCATAATTTTATAAAAATTGGTTAAAAAAAACTTTTATAAAAGAACAACAATATGCTGATAGATCATCACTACTTTACTTATGAAAGTTGAAGGCCACTATATAATGGCCAAGCTTGTCCTAGAGAACAAAACAATTAAAATGTATTGTTTTGTTCTCTAGGACTTTGTTCTTCAGGTACTAGGTTTTTACACAGATTTTTTTCCTCTCTGTGTATCACAAACAATTTCAACATTTTAAACACCTCTGAAACATAAGATACTTACATTGGAGGAGTAGCAGCTCTAAATATACACTCACTGCCAAAAGTTAAGCACGGAGCAATAAACTGCGAAAAAATCGACAAATACAGCTGTGATTGACACAAAATGCAGCAGGACAGTAGCAAATATGTTTATGCATGAAACAACACAGAGAGTTACATAGAAAAATGAAAACAATATTGAATTTTCATAAAGTATAAGATGAAATCATATTGGAATCATTAACAAAACGATGCTTAAATCCAAAACAAACAAACAAAACCGACATTAGTAGGGTAAATGGTCACCCCTTATCCTTACACAAAGTTTACAGTGTGTAACCATGCCTTCCATGAGGTGATCAATTACTCCAGAGTCAAATAAGTGCCATTCCTCCTGTAGAGCAGTTTGCAACTATGTGAGAGTGGCAGGGGGTGGGAAACATGCACACACAGCACGGCCGAGGGTACCCCAAAGATTCTCAATGGTATTGAGGTCTGGCGAATACGCCGGCCAATCCATACGCGCTATTCCTTCACTCTCGAGGTAGTCGTCGACGAAGGCAGCTCTATGGGGTCGTGCGTTATCATCCATTAAAACAAAAGCAGGACCAACTGCTGCAGCATACAATTTCACAGTGGGTTCGAGGACTTCATCCCAATACCGGACAGCCATCACAGAACCCCCTCGATACATGTGCAGGTCGGTGCGATATCCCAATGAAATGCCTGCCCACACAATAATGCTTCTACCTCGGAATGCGTGATGCTCGATGATGTTCTGGGGTCGATTGCGTGTGCCTTTTTTTCTCCACGCTCTTACACGTTTGTCATCTGGCTCCAGGGGAAATCGCAACTCATCCGTGAACATAACGTTGTCCCAATCAGACACAGTCCAATTCACATGTTGCCGACACCACTTTAATCGTGTGCCTCTGGATTGGACGGATAGTGGAACACAAACTCGTGGTACCTGGGCGTACAGTCCGTTCATGTGTAGCCTTTGGCGCACAGTAGTAGCAGATATCGTTTTACCAATGGCTGCTGCAACCATCGATGTCACACGTGTAGAGGTTGCTCTTCGATTCCGCTTGGCTACAAGAGCAATATAGCGATCTTCTGCAGGGGTCGTAACTCTTGGGTGACCGGCCACAGGTCTTCGGACAACTGTTTGGCTTGTTTGGAATTGTTTTCATAACCGTGAAATGACGGAATGATGAACGCTGAAGAAAAGAGCAACATCTGTGATTGATTGTCCTGTTTCAAGGCATCCCACACACTGCCAGCGCTCACTGTCTGTTATTCGTCTTCTGGAAGTCATAGAAACACGTCAGTCATGCACAGTAATTGTACAACAGTTCTCCACACTTTTTCTCGGCACTTACATGCAACTCCTCTCACACTTCAGAAGGCTGGCTTCTTATACGACTGCCTGTTTTGCATATTTCGTGACACGTAACCTTGATTGATAGTAACGTGACATATTTGCATGCTTCCACCTACCTCTGCAGTGAATTGCAGCCTGTCAAATGCAGATTGCTTTCCGGACATGAACATTTTCTGCTCCGTGCTTAACTTTTGGCAGTGAGTGTAGTAACATTTTTATTAACTTTTCTGTATTCATAATAACAATTTTCTGTAAAATAGAAAATTTTGGTCTGGATCATTGTATGCCTATACATGTTAAGTTTTATTATATTAGGTTATGATTACATTAAATCTGTTTAGATGATAGAGTGACAACAAAACTTTGTGCATCAGCAAAACAGGTTTATTAAACTGAAAAAACTAATGTTTTCAACCATATTTAATGACTGTCATTAAGTTGATGATCCAAAAATCATGCTGCTGCCCAAGGTCACAACCTTGGGCAGCAGCATGATTAAGTAGTTGATTA